CCAAAATGAAGTTACATTTTCTGGTAGTATAAAAGTAATTGTGAAAATCCTTTATCTCCAGTACGTTTGACTGAACACATTTTGTTGTTGAGTTGTTGTGTTGAATGGTATAAATCTCCTCCCTGTTGACTCCACTGATTGAAAATTTGATTGAGTTTCTGATGTATAATCTGACAAATTAAGCAACATGTTCACGCTCGAGATTATGTTATGGCTTAAGACTTTGGCACCAGCAACATTTGTATGAACATGGTCTGCAAATAATGTAAGATTAGGCTGGTCTCCATACAAAAAGTCTAAGGTATTGCCTAGAATTTCCACATGATGTTCCTCTAGTGATAAAAGACGGTTGTTGACATAAGAAATTATGCGGTTAGCTTGATATTGTTTTGGCCTCGGTAGGATTGAGGAAATTACCAGCTTAGTTCTCGGTAAGCTCTGTCTAACTATACAAATTTAATTTCTATAGTCGTCAATGATAGCCTGAACAGAGTCTCTATCTGATACGTTGTTAGTGCCCAAATGAACAACAATGACATCGACACAATCAAGTTTGCCTTCTGAGCTGTACTGAATGAGGCAGTCCTCAATGTCTCTGATCCGTCCTCCCCGAATAGTCTTTTCCTTAGTGTTGATTTGGTCAGTTGACATTTTCCTTGGAGACATTCTTTTGAGTGTTGAACTTACAACAAGAAATAAGTTGTTCTTTTCACTAGAACGTAGAAAACGCGGATAACTAGAGTTTACTTCACGGTCTGTGTATACTGAGTTTAGTTGTGACCTTTGTCTGTCCATATAGGTATGATTTTGCGTATTATGGTGTTCGTCGAGGTTTGTCCTATTTAGAGACATTGAATTATTTGATCTGCTTGGTATTCCACTTTTAACAGCGTTGCTGTATGTTCCAGGTGTAGTTTTATTTGTAGCAGAAATATTGTGTTATTATCAGAACATGGCCTGACAAATAAGGTTGAGTCGTGATCTAAACAGGTTTTTTAACCAGTCGTAAAAGGTCAAGAGAAAATAACTGCTTCTCAGACCACCAAGACGAATAAATACCTCCTTGCAATCTTACCGCTACCTGCACTGCCTCCTCCACCTCCTGATTTGCAGATACATTACCTATCGAACCAGCTAAACGTGCTACCCTTGGACATCGTGCACACGAGTACCTACAACTCAGTATAACGAATGATACAGACCTCACCTTTGAATTAAGATCTGAAAACAATGGTATTTACATCGGATATGCAACCTTTACCTTAGAAGGAGATAATATGTTTTGAATATGAATAGAGTACGATTCAGAGGAACACTTGTATTGTTGGAACTCATTGTCAAGAAACGCCATGAAAAATCGAACAAGAAGACTTAAATGCCTATGTAGATATTTTGAAAACTACAAATGTAATGAATAAATATTACGGTCCAGAGTCCGGACCTAAATCAAAAGTTCAGAAGGGCATCGTGTCGCACATGCAAAAGAAAAATAAGTTTGGTGGTGAACTACAAACCGTGTTTATACCATCAGATTTTGGTCAGCTTCTAGGTCAACTGGACCTGTGCGTTGCCTCCTTTCGAGCTGGAAACAATGGTGTAAGCAACGGGATCGTATACATCCTCAACGCAATGAAAAAGCTTGTTATAATCGACAGCAGGGAATACAAGCTGGCACATCGTAACATCTTATACATAAACATAAAAACGTGGTAGGCGGGCCGGGTCTTTCTATTATTTGACCAATTAATCCGGACGCATGTTCGCCTCCTCTATCGCAAAGGCATTTGGTACTAAAGTCATGGGTGCTGCCACCAATGCAACCCTAAAACTGTTAACTATGTCGTTGACAGAGTGACCAGCTAAAAGAAGAAAGCCGTACCCAACAAAACCCCTAAAACCAAGACTTCTCCGCAGCAAGCTCCTTTAGAAAACAACATTATATCAGGTAGCGGTATTGCAACTATTCGCGATTTCGTCCAGTGCTATACTAGTAAATAAATAACAATGTCTGAAATACTTATCATCAAAGAAGGTTTGTCGTTCGATGAAAATTTTCAGGATTACGAAATACTGTGAAAGTACTTCTATTCGTTGGGTACCAGTTTTCGTGACTTTTATGGATGACTTTATCCACGTATTCAAGTGTTCAACGAACTATAAAGTGTCATCCAAATCAGAACATGGAAAGATGCTAATGTATGTTTGACTACATAGCCATAGATTTGGCCACATAATCTAGAGTCTACATCGAATGTCAGCAAACGCATTAATATTATGAACTATGAATACAACTTCCCATAATATTCTATCCTTAAAAAAAAACCTAAACTGTACGATTTTTATCCTTTTAATTTTCATGCAAGTCAGACTTCCGGTGATGATATGCGATGATGTAGTGTTATTTTTTCTGTCCTCATAATTCTCATACGAAAGAAATATAATTTCATATTGGGTTTGCTTTTTTATTTCATAAGAATTAATTCTACGATTAAAAAGTACATTTGTAGCATTTTTTATGTTACCATTTTCTTTAAGTTACAAGTTTATTGCTCAATAAACACCTTTGATGATCGTTAATCTGATGATCGTTCGATCTCGGGTTAGTTAGTGTTGTCACCACTGATTACATGTGTGCAAAAATTAGAATGTTTACTTTGCAATTTCCTTCAATCTAGACGATCTGTGAGTTTAGATGAATCAGCTTATGTTCGAAAACAATTATTGCATTAAAGATTTGATGAATGTTGTCAGTTATGAAAGACGAACAAGTAAGTGAAAATCATTATAAAACAAAATCCATCTATGATTAGTTTCAAGACTCTTCGTTTCTGATGGCTTCAAAATTTTCACTCGATTTTTTCTCAGAAAAATGAAATCGATAAATTTAAGTGCCCACGAACATGTAACTTAACTTTACTTAAACCACGACAATTGATGCCCACGAATAAAAGAACTGTAACAGTACATGAATACGAGCCTCATTCCGGAGCTCCATTGAACAGTTCTGGAGCAGAGATACGAATTAACATTGAGAACCAAGATCTGTTTGTCCATCTGGATGAGAGTGATCTCTCGGTTGAACGACAAATTTTAAAGAACGACGGCACGGTTTACGCAGATGCAGATCTGGTGACACTTGTAAACAATGGTATCATTTACTTATCCAAAAGTCTAGGTTACAGTGTGTCAGGACAGCCAAACGAACACGTGAATAATTCAGGTATAGATACTACCATGTTGAGGTTGTTGACTTATCTTGACGACTTCGACTTGCGCAATTCGCAGGGTCTCAACCACTTTTGGTAAAAGGATTCGACGGCTAATACCGAAGCCGACATCATTGACTTTGCAGCTAGGCTAGGTTACATCGTTATGAAACCTGCAAGCAAAGGAACGTTCTCATTCACCACACCGTTAAGGCATATCTTCGGTTTCACAGAGCATGCAGAGGACTATGCCAAAATCGTGTTTGGATTCAAACACAAACTAAAACTCGTTACGTTAACTCTGATACAAACGCTGTGTAAAGAACAGCGGCAGTCAGCAATATGGCAAAGATCGTCTTGAGTAAATTATCCTGGTGTGTTACTCACGTTGTTCTCTTCGATAAAAACAAAGTGAAACAGTACAAAACAATCCAGAGTAAGATTAAACTCAACTGTTGTTTTTGTATGAAATAGTATAATTCCATAGTCGTTCCCAGAGTACACACTTCGGTTGGAAATTGTTAGCAAAAAACGGGTGGGAAAAACCTATATTGATCATCGTAGTCTTCCAAACCGACAAGTGTAACGACTAGACTCATAACGCAGCATTGGCGTTTGCGAAACATCCACGTCACCCTCAACGAACCGGAGCGTCTTTTTACCACAGAACACCACAGAATACCCATTCATGTACTTCAATGCTGCCTTTACCCAGTGCAAAATACTTAGGTTGTACAACGATGCAGCCAAATTTCGCAAGAAGTTCTTCAATATGGATCATCTCATCAGCAACAGTAATATCAATCCTTTCGACTTGTCAGACCTATATCCCTTGTGCGTCATCGATTTGATTCACCAGTAAGCGAAACTGAAAGAATCTGAGGAAGACAATTAAATCAGAGCAGAATTCGAGCGCAATGTCCCAGCAAACACACAAACGTTCTGCAGTTCGAGTGTGACAGACAAAAGATGAAGGTTGTGTTTAAGGTAAATAAATGGATAATGAGTTGTTATGACCAATTGTCGACAATACATCTCCTGAGCAAAGGTTTTTTTCATCGTGTTCGGTAATGACAAAATCGACACTCGGTTTAATCAACACATTCACCTCAAAAGTGGAAAGAGTTACGAGATGGGTCTGGTAAAGTTGTAGACTTACTACTCTTTCCCAAACACTCATGCAGGGAAAACACCTTTCAGTTATTCGACCGATAACAGTAACCACCTAGATGTAGATCTACTATTGCGTTGAACACTGGTTTTTACACGATAGAAGACATCAACGACGTGTTGCGAAGACAACTACGACTCATCAAACACCCACACAAAAGCAAAACCAATGCCAATCGAACTATGCTGAGTGCGACACTAACCTAAGCAAACAATTACATAGTGGAATTTAACGTTGTCAATAGCATCAAAACATTACTGCAATTCGATTGAAAAATCTACACACACGACTACAGATAATGTAGACATCATCATCATCATCATCATCATCATCATCAACATCATCTACAGCATTCTAATCAACTGCGATACCATCAGTGGTAGATATGTAAACGGATACCAACAATCGATTATCTACAGTTTCTTCCCAAAAGTTATACCCGGCATAACAATTATTCAAAATCCTAAAAACTTTGAACATTTACAAGTGACGCTGAAAACAATCAATCGTATGAGTACTAATAAGGCGGGATTTCCATCGAACTCAGAGGCGAACATTTGACCATACGCTTTGTTCCTCGCGAGGAAATGCAATACCTTTCATTTCTCGGAGATATTGTAGAAAAATTCTGATACAACTTTAGGATTATTATTTGTTCTTCCAACTTGTAGCAATAGAATTCTTCTAGAATATCTGAAATGACAAAAACAGTTATTCATTATCATGTCTCAAACTTCATTAACGCTCTTTTAGCACAACTAAAAGATATAATTCCAAATTTAATTGATATGGCTGTTAACATTTTATGGACAAAAAATCTGTGTTTGTCAAGTGTTTTGCAACTTATTGCCCCTTTTATTAAAACGTCACTATACATGCACGAGGAGAGTGGAATCGAAAGCTGCATAACTTGAATGATTGATGTATATTTATGTTTGTTTTGCTTGTTATTTGTTTGTTATTGTGTTGTTTTTAATTTGTACACAATTGCTTAATTGTACATATTGTTAAAAGATGTAATAAATTTCAAGTCTAATAATAGGGGTAGCGAATACATATGCGTACAGCTGAAACTAACAAACAATTGCAAAATGTAGTGAGAGCATGCATGTGCGTCACTATAGGTTAACTATCTCCCACTTTACTATCAATATCCGTAGTTCCAAATTCTTAAATTTAGAAGTCTATGCCTTGAAAAGTGGACTTCTTGTTTGATTCCTGTAAATAAGAAATCTTCACTGGCGTTAAGCATAGAAACCAATATGACACCTATAAATGTTTAGAAAGTTATTTCAGGTATATGCAGCTTTACCATATCGAGGAAATCCCCGTAACACGTAAGCCCTCTCGTAACACAGCAAAGTTAAAAATTGATATCGTCTTCAAATATTTGTGACTGTTTATCACATGTAATTATATAGTAAATGCATTTTGACTGCTCAAATAGAAAGGTTGCAGTCTAAATGTATTGATACTTAAACAGTGAAAATCTCACAATATATAATATCTGTTGGATAGCAGAAACATCGGTTATACAGGGCTGTTAATAAATATATATGCATGTATAAAGTAGGTGAGAAAATCAACCCAACAACATTAGAACTGCAAATTTAATATACATGTATAATTATTTTACACATGTAACTATAGTTGGTGCAATAAAATAACTGAAACTGACCCACATATCGCTCCGTGAATGGCAAATCCATAAGGTTTTATCTTGTCGTAACCATCTATGTGTAATAAGTAATCTGGGCCCTTGTTTATATAAGAACGTCTCGTAAATCTTTGGTGCTTTCTATCATTTACTCCTTCCGGGGTGATGATTTTCTGCAAATGTGCAACCGTGTCCCTGGATAATAAATGGAATTTAAAGAAATGACTTAAAAGATGACAATATTAATGCAAGTTTCTTTTAAAGAAGTACATGTAGCTAGTAATAAAAATAATTATTAAAAAAACCATTAAAGGGTCAAAATATAATTTCATGATGAAAATAAATAATTAGATACATCTGAATATCAAGAAGCCACAAATAGTTTAATGAATGTTGAAAATTTAAGGCATGTGAATAAGGAAATAAAAACACACAGACGCATACCTGATTTTATGTACATTTTTTGTTTATCTTGGTATACGTAATCCAGTTTAGAAAGTAACCGCTTTGTCATAGGTCTGTATCCTAAGCAACTTCCACTACTCATTTGTTCTGTCTGCAGCTATATACAAACAAAGATGTTTAATAAGATTTTTGAAAAGCTGCGTTTCTGTTGTTAGCCTATTTGCTGATGATTTCATATATTAAAAATGATGTGAATCGAGACAGGGGGTATTTTACATATAAACAGTCCATATGACCTATTGCCATTAATCGGCGTCCGTCGCCCGGAAACTTATACATCTAGTCATCTCCTGTGAAACCACTATACCTATGTTATTGAAACATGGTTTAAATATTGAAAAATGACACCCCTCAAAGGAGATACCGGGTAATGACTTACTCGCTATCTTTTGACTTAGTTACAAATGTAATCACATAATCATGAAATGTTTTCCCTAGTAATTGGTAATCAAACAATCAGAATACCCTTCGTAATTACATAAACATTAAATAGAAATGCCCTGATCATTATAAAATCATTAAGAATGAAAATTATCACATAGTCAATAACCACACGAGGAGTCTCATAAGTAGCTCTCGGTTTTCCCATTCGCCAAGATAGCTGCAGTTAAAACATGGTAAACAGTGTTTTAAAAGTTGTTTTTTTTTCTATAAAATTACTGATTTGCTGATTTTTACCGATGGTGCAAATCAGTTAATCCTTAATAGACAAATTAACAGTTAACTCAGATGAGCGATACTATGGTACTTGTGAACTTATTAGATTTGTTTTTGATTGTCATCATTTGCCAGATGCTGAGCATAGCCTCATATTTATTCAACGGTACCGTTGCCAGAGAAATATCACTGTATTAGACTTATTGATGTAGCGTTTAAGATTAGTACTCACAGTTAATGCTTGAATAGCATCATTCATAGGTATATGTGAACACCTTCTTTTCAATCCCATAGCTCTTAAAAGACGCTGTATTTGTCTTGTGCTGAAACCAGAAACACATGTACATTAAAAGATATTAACAAATTCCGTATTTGTTAAACAAAAGTATTTTCGGTGACATCAATGTAATACTTAATACCACAAGATATACGCAGATCATACGAAAAAACCTAATGGGAAAGTATAATCACATTTGGTAATGAAAATGTGTAATTGAAAAACATTGTACACTAGGTATTTATTGTTCATAACTTAGACGATTAAAAAATTACTAAAGTTATTTCAATGTAACAACATGACATTCAAAAAGGGGTAGACATTACATGGATACTTCGAGTCTAAAATGTTAAGGAACATTAAAGTGTATAAATCAAAGACAGTATCATTTGTTTATATTCTAAATATAATGAAATCACAATACGAATATTGCTTAAGCACTTTACATTTACACTTTACATTTGTTCAATTTTTGTGGTTTTTGTGTTCAGAATGCACAAATTTGGTTCACGAAAAAAAAACAGTGAAAAAAGGGATATGTTAAAAATGTGATGGTGTTCATGTTTTGACAAACCTTGACTGTAAAAACTTTCTGGAAAAGCAAAACTGGTCATCAACGATTTCAAAAACATTATTTTGGTCTTACTAATGGCACCCCAAAAAATCAGTATGGAATATTTGACAACGGTGTTTTTCAAGCCCCGTTTTTTACGTTTTATTGACAAAGAAGAAATGAGTTTGCTATGTAAACGAAGTTTATGGTAGACACTTAAACAAATGACTAAATTTGTTCTCAATTTTTCATTAAAGGAATATTGTAATGTGGTAAAATGTGTCGCTAAACTTTTTTTACTCAGTATATTTACACTTGTATCTCAGTCGCATTTCATATTTGCACCGCAAAATGTTTGATATTTCTCCATTGGAAAAGCCGCCATAAAATAACTCTCTAAGCAACTCATGTTCTTTTTGCTTGTTAAGGAAGTTTTATCAAATAGTTAACTGAACACAAAAAAAAATATTTCACTGTATAAGATGCTTGACTATATAAATAGTAAAAACCAACGTATTAAACTGCAAAAGAGTATATGCTGAATCTTTATAAGGTAACAGCTATTGAGAATTATTGTGTTATTATTAAGTGATTGAACCCTTTTCATATCGTAATCAGACAATACATGTGTTTATAGAACCTCATGGAAAGACATACCAAATAAAGAACACGACATACACAAACCATGTGAACATTCAAACAGAAAATCAAAAACTAAAGCTTAATAGGTCAAATGAAATTTTATAAAAACCTGGAGTTATTTCCGTATTTTTTCAGAAGTGTAAGCAAATTCTGCTCCGCATACGCCATTCGTAGTATCACCCATTAGTTAAATCCGGTGATACAACGGGACAAATTTGGAAAATGGGCCTCCTAGACAAAAACATAGACACAGACATAGGCATAGAAATTTTATTAAAAGTCGGTACATACATTACACATAACATAAGAACCATATTAGCTTGGAGACACTCACTGTAATATGTTCAATCAATTGATGGCGACCATGAAACTTCTTCAAGAATAAAACCAATGTAGGCTGAATGTAACACTGATCAAGTGTTTGTTTGAGAAATCGAGTTAGCTCTGTTTTAGACATTTGTTAAGTTTGTTGTTATTAAATTGAAACTACATGTATCTTAAATATTGAACTTGTCGTAAAGGATACGTTGGACATCTCCTTGTTCACTTGTTGATAAGCTTGTATAGTCTGTCATGGAAGATATCTTTAGAAAAAGAGAAAGAAAAAAACTTTTGTATATATTCTCAACAGTGAATTTTGAATTGCTATACTTGTATATAAGCTGTTCAAAGGTTGTATTAATAAGGACAGTTTCATAGAACTAAGATTAACGATATCTTCTTTATTTTACATTAATCACACTTCAATAAACGACATTAAACATAATTGATGTCTGCTCTGAGAGGTACTAACATAACGATGAAAATACTAAAAATGTGCCAGCTTGAGAGAGGACGTTTACAACTTAATCAGAGTCCTCGGGATCAGGTGGAAGCGTCCATCCTATCAATGTACTCAACATGAAATATCTGTCTGGAATAGACATATCAAAATCAAGCACCTTTTCCGTCTTTAACATTGTTTCCTGAGCAACGTCGAGAAATATCTTATTTTTTGTTTCTGTCAAAGATTGAACTAATGCTTGTGTGAATGTATTATTTAAAAAGTAACAGTTATCTTCACTGAGAAGTGCGATGAACAGGCATAAGATTTGTTCAGGAAGATCGAAGAAAATTCTGTCTGGAAATGTTTTAACTTCCAAACTTTTGATTAATCTTATCACCGATTTGGTTTTTTCTGGTCCCCGGTTTTCGCCGTATTGCCTTTTTGTTATCCACCTGAAATCACTAGACATTTCTAAAATAAGAGAATGATCAATAAATAATTGATTAACTTAGGAAAGCACATACCATTTATGTTTTTGGGACTTTTTTTTCAGTGTGTGTGTGTGAGGGGGGGAGGAGGGGGGGGGGGACAAACCGATTCCCTTCGAATGTATTAAATAACAGCATCTTCCCTTTAACAACATACAGCTAGAAACAAGACATTTTTTTTAAATCAACATGTCATAGCATTATTCCCTTATTTTCAATGTCAACAAATCATTTTTTTCACTTCCCTTCTGAGACAATTTTTCAATAAATTTTAGAATCAAGCAATTTTTTAATCAAAAACTTATCTTTATAGATGAATTGCCTGTGCGTCTAAGTTGCAACTCAAATTGTTTGACATTTGTTAATGCACGCTAATGGTTGATTTGCCATTGGTATTGTACTTGTAATATTTTGTAATTTCTATCGTTTATAAAACATTATTTAATAAGTTGAGTACTTTTCTGGTTTTAATTTTATTGTGCGTTTGTTTTTGTGATTTCTTCAATACTATTTCAGATCGCAGTGAAGGTAGACTACACACAAAACATGTATATTTACTAGTCAACAAAAGAAACGATAATATGCAATGCATTTTCCGTATATATTAAAGTTCAATAGACGCGCGCTTTCAATCTTAAACAAATAGCCCAAACGGTCCAATGTTCATAGGGGCTGTTTTTTATCATCAAATTCATTGATTTACTTACGATACGAAAACGCGAAAACGCGAAATCGCGAAATCAAGCAGTCATATATATTAAGTTTTCAACTTATAAAAAGTACTTAGATAAATTTTATCTCTTGAGTGTTTTCAGTCAATACATGTGCATATGTATTCTATGGTATTATACAGAGGTTGTATCTATTTGAAACATACTGTTTAAAGAGAGCCTCATTGAAAATTGGTGTAATCCATATGTGTTACTCTCTATAAATAAAAAAAATATCTATCTTACTTGTTTATCTTTCTATCTTGCGTTATTAATATCCCACATTAAATTGATCAAGTCCTATTTACCTGATATTCTATGAACAATTCTTTCACATACATTTTTGTTTTATACGCATGCTCGAGTAGATTACTTCCGAGACAAAAAGGCGAAAACGCGAAAACGCGAAATCGCAAAAACGCGAAATCGCGAAAATGCGAAAACACGAAAAGACGAAAACGCGAAAGCACGAAAAGGCGAAAACTCGAAATCGCAAAAAGGCGAAAACGCGAAAAGGCGAAATCGCAATGTCGAAAACGCGAAAAGGCGAAATCGCGATGTCGAAAACGCGAAAGCGCGAAGTCGAAAACGTGAAATCGGACAGAAAAAATATTCCGCGTTTTCGGGTTTTCGCGTTTTCGACTTTATGACTTCGCGTTTTCGCGTATTCGACTTTTGGACTTCGCGTTTTCGCGTTTTCGACTTCGCGATTTCGCGTTTTTGCGTTTTCGCCCTATAGAATATGAAGGGCGAAAACGCGAAAACGCAAAAACGCGAAATGGCCTTAACCGGCCACAATACAAAGTTAACACTAAAAAAAATTCACTTTTCAATTTTTAACTTCCCAAAATTTTAAACTATTAATTTTGAAGACGTGTCTCATCTGAACGAAGTCTGAATGGTCTCGAAGTTACCTGTTTATTGTTTCCCTGTTTGGCACATACCTAAATATAAACTTCATCACAATTGATCCCAAAAATTGTCAATAA